TCAAGAAGGTTTATAGGAGACGTGGTGGTGCTCAATGGTACGCCAGTGGCGAAAAAAGCGGAGAAATCCGTCAAAAACGCAAAACGGGACCCCCTTTTTTGGCCGTTGGTTTTCACTCATGAACAGGTAACAGCTCAGAAAGCGGACGTATGAACGAGTTCACGCAACGCGTTTGGTGGCACCATGCCAAACCACGCTCCAATCGAGTTGCTCCAGTTGTGCCGCTGCTGGCAACGCAGCTCGTCCAAATCACCAACTAAACTAGTGGGCGGATCGCTTTTGGGGGCGGAGTGCTTTCGAAGTCCTGCTCAGCAACCAGCGCACCTTTCGTCGTGAAAGCGCTACACCTCGCTTCCTTGGCAGCCAAGTAACTGATTCGTGTGGTGCATATGCTTCCCCGATGCGCTCCCTCTTTATCGTAATCGCTGCCTTTAAGTCGAATAATACCATAGTAGTGATATAGTAGTAGATGATAGAGTAGATAACGGAAGATTTTGAAACTGAACCTCACAAATTTTTCCCTAGCAAGAAATGAAGTTCATCGAAGACGAAACACTTTGATTTAAAATTCAGTCTTCTCAGCAACCCCAATTCGAAACCTTTGAAGATGATGGAGCGTGATTCGAACGCGCCGCATTCATACGGAAGCAGGGTCAACCGTGTGTTCGCAATATTAGAAAGAGGGGGTCGCATTTGTGGTTGGTCTCGGAGAGGGGAGTCGCATTCAGGGCCTGAGTGTTTAGTTGGTTTTCTTGAGGATCATTCAGTGGATGTAATTGGCGTGCAGGGTGGTAGGTGGGAGTAGAGAAAATTAACCGTTTCATTGGACCAATACCCCCCTCGCTCGACGCGTTTGAGGAAGAAGTGGGCGGGGTTGGGCTGTGTCGACTGGTCTCAGAATCAAATACTATAGAAACAGCCATGATGGCGAGGGTGGTGGTCGGGGTAGGAGAGAGGGGGCGTATTGGGGAGCCTCCTGAGTCTCATGGTGGTGGTGGGGGTCGCATCGAGACCCCCTAAAGGAGGGGGTCGCGAAATTTTGAAAAAGTGCGAACGTCACGGTTGGCCCTGTACGAAAGTCGTGGTGTACACGACGGCTTTGCTGTAGTAGGCTCCCTAATCCGAATGTGTTCAGTTCGGTTTAGGTCATTCCAATCAGAGAGAAGAAGCCAGCACTATCACTGTGAAAATACGTTCAAGCATTTCAGGCAGCTGTTCAAGTGCTCTTTATAGAATACCCATGGCTGTTTGTAGTAGTTCCTTGAAAAAACTTTCGCATCCGGTTCCAACATGATAGACTCTTTTCAGTGCAATACGTTTATGCACTCAAATGTAGATTGCTTCCTTTCTGTTCATAATTAATAAGAAGTTCCAAGCTGTGACTTCATGCGTTCCTTAGGAGTAACAGTCTTGATCCACATGTTGTCTCGGTGCAAAACTTTTCCATTTTTATCCACGTACTCCTAGAAATACAGCACTTTCAAGAGAATCTTCAGGGTTGCAAAAAAAAATCCAAAAACGCGATACAAAAGAGCCTTATCTTGCGGGGCTGTGAGTCAGACTGCCTACATCTCAAGGGTAGGCAGTGCCAAGGCGCTAAGGTTGCATGCATCATAATTCGTCACCCTCTCTTAACTATTTTATGAAGTGTTGTACAAATCACGCTTAACGAGGGTGGCGAGGAACGAGGATCTTGTTAAGTAACAGCGCCTTTCAGAGTTTTATGGGAGATCGAAGTGTGTCAGGACAAGGGATAACGAGGACGGCACAGGGAGAGAAAAAAGACAACAACTACCAGTACTGATCGAGCAAGGGAAATCCGACGGGACTCGCCAGCTTCAAATTTTCAGTCTCACTACGCTGCCCACGGATCTCTTTCACTGAGGGTCCTCTCTCACTGAAAGATCTCGAGCCGGTTGGTGGCGAGGCTACGTGGCGCGACCCCAGGTGGCGGATAGGGGGTAAATCGCGGACCAAAAGCCACCATGTACTTGCCCTGAGACGCAGGTGGATTCAGGGGATGGACTCCCGTTCCTGCAGCGCATCGCTACCAAGGAAGAGCGCTCTTCTCGGGGTAACTCGCTCGCAAAGAATAAAGTAATTGTCCCCTAAAAGCACAGATGTTACTCACATTACCGTGGCTGCCAACGTACAGCAAATCATCTTTGATGGTCATCCACTCGCATTTGAAAGGGTTGGTCGTGTTGCCTGGGCCAGAGTTGAGAAATACCCATGGAATCATCTAAACTCTCCTCAGATCAGAATTCTTGTAGAGCGTTTCTGGACACTTCCTTACCTGACCGTTCCTGATTTCACTAATCATTCCGGTTCGGTCATCAGGAGTGAGTATGCGATTGTGGAAGACTGATAAGCCGGATAATTCCATAGCACGTCCTTTGACATTCATGGACCTAAACCGCTTAATCTATCCAAATCCCCTTTTCACATGGTGAGGGTTGCTCAATCCAGCTATGTTTTGCAGTTTGGTACGGTATTCGTCAAACCTGTGCGAAAAGCAAATCGTTCTATTGCTGAGAACCTAATTTCACGTTAATTTATGTGATCAATTTTGAATAGCCCAGTTAGCAGCACTTCAGGATACTTAGACTGTCAATACTGCTCACCCTTCTAGAATGACGAACGCTACGCAATTGCGTCCAGTCTTGCGCTGTTACCGTCTCCATTTCCTAACGCCACAATCTCAATCATCTCAATTCTTCCTCATCGACAACTGCGCAACGATGTGGCGCGAGCGCCAAAAGATATTTTTGCTGAACCAATGTGATATTTGTACTCTATGGGCTGAATTACCTCTAGAGGCAATTTTTAGCCAAATGGGTGAATTTTGGTTAAAAGCCGGCAATCAGTGAAGAAAGGAATCAGCAAGCTGTGTTCTGTATGTGTCGCACTGAAGACTCTGCAGTCATCAGGTGTTATAGACAAATTACTCGCTTCCCTGCCTTACCCTTAGCCCTATTCTCTTTCAAAACCAGTTTCGTTTTAGGACCACTTTTACTTATACCGTGAATCGGAATTTGATACATGTCTCGATTCACCCTGTCTAACTCTCCTCAATAAAAATAAGATAATAAACCTACGACGTCAAGTTATGCTCCGATTCTATTTCCCATGAGATGTTCACATGTTTCTTGTCTCGGCTCAATGTCAGGCGACCTTTTCGGGAGACAGCTCTCCATAACCATTCTCCTGCTCTCGAGGCTCTGTCCAAATCGGTGACAATCATCAATTCATACTCAGTTGAGCCATCTGGATTAACGTGGACATGCGGAATCGTTGGCTTTGGTGGCTTTGGCTACAAAAAGTAATGGCCAGATTTTGACAAATCACATCCATAAGAAAAAAGGAGTGGTTCAGTGTCATAAGAAATGTATAAACGTACGTACGTATAGTATTCGAGCGCTCTCCATCGGTGCTAATGGCCTTGTCAGACTTGAAATAGAAACTATTGCATATGGGTGAAGGGATAAAGCGCTTCCCACCAGGACACCCTTCTGTGGGATGCCGCTGTCTGTGGCGCTGCTTGAAAAGCGCGGGCGCAGTGCGGCAGCGGTGCCCATTGCGGTTCAATGTCATTGGCACTGGAGCAACCCGACTAAGTACGCGAAACTCGTCCAATGCGCCCTTCTTCTATCTCAAGGTGGAATGCGGCTGAACTAGGGAACTCTTTTTCGAGGTCCGATGGGGGGTTTCTCTCAATTTCCAGACCACTTGCCACCTATACCTTTATTGGTGAATGCTCCTCGACATCAATTTCATCCCTTGTTTGCCTTTAGAAGCCTCAATCCATGGATTTTGAGATTTCCTCAAGGTTTTAACCTCTTCGATCAGCAACTAGATTATCCTACCCACAGCCGGTGGGCCACAAGGTGAAACATCGTTTCCATATCTTCGAAGGTTAATGAATTTGTTGCATAAATACTGTCTATTGACTGCACACCTTGTGGTGGTCGTGGTGCTTTGGTGGTTTTGTCTCATGCTCTGGATAATCGTAATCTGAAATAAATTACCGTATGGTACTCTCATGCTGGAATAGCTTCAAGTTTGCTTACATATAACATCTGGAGGAGGAGGTTTTTCAATCTCTCCGAAAGGGAATGGAAATGGAAGTGCGTCCGCGAGAAAAGCCTGAAAACGACAAATCATTTCGCAGAACCATCAGAAAAAATAAGTCTTGCTCGAGCAGCCTTTATAGTTGAATAAAAACCAAGCTAGCTTGAGTCGACATCGTACTCACAACAAAACGCTCATACACAGGTCACAAAGCTCTTCTTCAAAAATAATAAAACCTTTTTGCTCTGGAAGAAAAAAACCAGCAGGTATTTGACTAGAAAATCAGTTTTCGATGTTATCACTTCTAGAGCTGCATGCATTGCCTCTAAATTCACAATTATATGGCCATCGCCTTCGACCATCGTGGTCACCACCCTGTTGAGGCTTTCGGAACGTTTACGAGCAAGGTCCCATTGCGATACCTTATCCCCACGACCGTATCCCAGTCATGGACAAATTTCGATAAAATCAAATATACCAAATTCCCAGTCATGGACAAATTTCGATAAAAATCCGGCTCAGCTTCGGGCAGTGGAAGGCAAGCAGTACCGTATCACCGTATCCCCAATGTAACGTGACCCCTTGTTCATCTGCTGTCATTTCAATATTACTGTAACCCATTTATTTTGTACTCTTTCACCAAC